GTGATTTCGTCCTATGTCATAAAGTATGCTAAATTTATATAGTTCTTAATAATTGTGGCAGCTTATGATGAGATTTTATGAAATGATAAATTTTTTTGTGTCTCTCTGTGGCCTTTTTTCATAGCTAGAGTCAATAATATTAATAAAAGTGTTATGTAGATTTTATTATTTTATATTAAAATATGATCCCAAAATTTCTGCATAAGTCGCCAAAACAATTATTAAGGTATATTATCAAAGTTATTAAATAAATCTTTTTTTTAGTTATGTGAAAATATTGGTCGCCACCGTCATATAGATTATTGTAAAGATCCAGGTGTTTGTGAAGGTCCTGGAGGTGGAAAAAAAGAAGGCTTGTTAGAGCATATAAATGGTATTTATATCTAGAATTGCTTACATCGAATGTAAACTTTAACTCAATTTTGGAATATTTTTAATATTTCAACATAAACTAGCGAATATTGGCCCAAATCCATCAAAAAAGAAAGACTATATTTCTCATCGCGTCTTTTGGGAACGAACTAAATTTCAAGGTATGTATTTAAAAAAAAAATCAAAGTATTATAATTTTTGGTTAAATAATATTATAATTAAATTGTAGACCCATATTCGAAGGACGACAGAGAAGAATTCAAAAAATGTGATCACGAATGTGCTGATGAAAAGCATCACAAAGTTGACGAGTTTTCAGGAAAAGAGCCTGCAAAATCTTACTGTTCGCAAGAAATTTTTCATCCTGCTTTAAATGCAAGTTCTAAACCTTCAGGTGGTGTAGGCTATATTTCAACCGATGGTCATCACGTAGGCATTCAAACTATCAAATATTTATTTATGATTGGCATATGCAATACTAATTTGGCCAACTTTATTAGTTTTTATGTGAAAATCCAACTACTAATGTTGGTAATTTTCATATTGTATTTGTTGTGGACCGAAGTGGTTCCATGAGTTTGAATGATTGCCAACCTCACTGTAGTAATAGCAAAATATCACACTTACGAAACACACATAATAATCGATTAGGTGCAGTTTATGAAGCAATTTATACATTCATAGAAACTAGAAAGAACTCAAGAAAAGCAACGACAACTGGACAAATGGCAGTGGATCGAGATACGGCTTCTTTAGTTCTTTTTGATTATACTGCAATAACTGCTTTTGAAAATAGAAGCTTGTCAAATTCGGATGAGCTTTTACAGATAATGTTAGGCTATTATCCACAAGGAGATAACTATTATCACGAAGGAATTAAAAAGGCTGCAGAAGTTATTGAAACTTATTATGACCCTTCAAGGTAAATTTAATAAATTGTCAAATGTAAATACAGATAAATCCATAATAGCTATTTAATCACCTTTTGAATAGAACCAATGTAATTATCTTTCTATCGGACGGTGAATATCATCCTCCGGAACCAGAATTAAGAAGTCTTTGTCAGAGAGAAAAGGATAAGGGGTAAATATAACATTCTCATATGTTAACCACTCAAATATATATAAATAAAATGCTAATTTAGAATGGTTATATATATAATAGGACATATTTGTATCTTTACACAATCATGTTTACTGGATCTTCTCATTATGCTTCCTATGGGCAGTCATTACAAAAAATGGCAGATATAGCAACAGAATATCTTCCAAAAAATGCAGACAAAGAATCTTTAAAATGTCAATATGTTCTTGCTATTAATGAAATTATGTTAACTGAACATTTTACACAAGTCGCGGAGAGCCTTCGATTGCACAAGCCAATGCTAATAAGAAAATAGAATACATTTTTTTTTAAAAAAAGAAAAATGCTTATAACCAATTACTGTATGAGAGTAATTGAATTTTGTTTAGAGTTAGATTTAAAATTGGGATAATTCATAATATATAGTAAAATTTTG